TAGATGTATTTTTCCTCGTCTTTCTCTTCCTCTTTCATTTCGTCGTTCAATCAGTAACTGTAACGTAGTTTTTAATTTATTCTATTCCGTATTTTTTTCTTTTTTGTCTCATAACAGATCTACGAACGGATCGGTAAAAAAGATCGGAAATTGATTTTCCAAACGTTTGCAATGGACGAGCCGCCATGTTTATTTTAATTTCCGGGAAATCGTGCGAGCTTTTCCGTTTCCCAGTCCTATAGGGTCGTTTAATTAAACGAGCTGTAGATAATGCCGTTATCGGGACGGATTTCAAGCAATTGCTTCGACGAATTTCTCTTCGACATTCATTTATTTATCTTTGTTTTTTTTTCTCTCTTTCGCTCAAGAGGTCCACCATCATTGTATCCACTATTTCTCGACGTCTAATATCCATTAATTATCGATCTCTATATAATTATTCATCGATTATTCACGCTTCAATACGTTTTATCCTCCACCTTCCGAATTTATCCTTGTTTATTTCACGAGTATTCGTGCAGTAGATATCGATATATCCTTCGCGTCCATTCTAATTTTAACGTCATTATAATTGTTCATCGACGCATCCACACGCTTTCATATTTTTATCCCCACCTCTATTTATATACATTCTAACGAAACACCCTATATATCCTATTCATGAATATTAGAATAAAAAAGTGAAAAGAAGAAAAATTTAAATAGCAGAAAATTTTGATTTCACGATCGCCCTTTGGAACGAAAAGAAGGCAAGTTGGCGATCGATATTTTCTGGCCAAGGTTTCGTCGAAATCGGCCGGTTTAAAACGAGACACCCGGTATCGAAGCTCGGTCCACCGCGCTCAGTTCGCTGATCCGAGAGATTTTAATTATTACCATCGAATCTGTCTCGTGCACGCATCAAGTCGGATGTAATGATGAAATTATATGAAAACGTTGTTCGATCGTTGAGATTAATTATCGAACGTTTACGTGTGTACACACGTATATGTATGTACAAGGGGAACAGAGGTAAAAACCGGCGGAATATCGTTTAATTGACACGCGTTTACTTTTAATTCGAAATATTGTGCTTGCTTCTTCTACTTTTTCCTCCATCGATAAACGGATAAACTCGCCGGTCAAACGAGGAAAAGCTAGTTAAAGCACTTTGTCGCAATGGAAAAGGAAAAAATAAGAAAGAAATTGGGAATCAGACATTGAGAAGAAACGCGACTCGCGAAGAGTTCTTGCCAATTTTCCATTATTTCTTCTTCCATTGCTCACACCGAAGATTCTTATTCTCTTTAAAAAAATTCCCATTTCGTAAAACATTTTTCTCTTCGCGCGAATCACGAGAGAGAAAGAGGGAGAGAGAAAAAGGTTTCAAAGGAACAAGCACAGATACAAAAATTCGAGATACGAATCGCGTTTTTCAAGAAAGGGTTTCATGAATCGACGTTGCTCGATTCAACCCGAGTTGAAAGAAAAAAATCCCAAGTTTTTCCCCAAGAAAACACGACTGCGAAGGTATTCGATGTAAATGCTCGCGCGACACCGCATCCCCATAAAGTATTAAAAGAGCAGAGCCGTATCGGTGTCTCTGAGCTTTTCTTTCCGAGCTTCCATTCAAAGCCCATCCCACCGCGCGTCTTGGTAGCGGCATTCGCGATCCGTTTACCGATTCCATACTTTAACGGCATAAATCTCATCTAATAAATGTACACGCGTGCATCGTGAGTGCATCCGGCTGTGGCACGCAAACCGTGCGAGACATTTATCATTCAAAGTCCTCGTATCGAAGGAACACGATGCGAATGGAACAGCTTCCGCCTCCATATTTTTCCCTTCTCTCTTTTTTTCTTTCTTTCTTTCTTTCTTTCTTTCGTCGACCAACGAATCGAGAAAAAGTAGAGAAAAATGTGTCGATTGATGCGAATTGTCCACTGAATATACACATATAATCGAATCGAATCGGTTGAAAATTTGTTC